TGCGGTAAGAACGAAATGCGTGGGATTAAATTTAGAATAGATGTAAGCCGCAGAAAGAGACAAATGAAAAGGACATCAAGAAAAACGTCTTTTGCTCGGTGGATCTTCAAGACGTGCGCGCGCGCGCGCTCGTCGTAGAAAAAATAATTAAGAAGCTCGTCGTCGACTTTACGTCCCAGTCGGATGCTAGCAGTTTACGCGAAAAAAAAATAGTACAGGGACGCTGGCTTGATTATTGTCAGACATCAGCCGTGGTAGTATCTCGAGAAGAAAATGGTTAAAATTTAAGGAAATCTGTCTTGCGGCGGTCTGTGAAACGGCGGCAAATATACTAACCGTACGCGGGAAACAATGAATTCGTACTTTAGAATGTAAATGTTTCTCTCATGCGGATTAAGTACGCTGTACGCAAGCATCTCATTAGGATGCTGCAGTAGAGCAAATTTCATTAAGCCCGGCCAAAAAACTGCATACTATGCTATACAAAAAAAAAATATATATACTATATATGCATGAAATCAGTCAACTTTCGTTTCAGTTGCGCGAGAGTATATTTAATGAAAAAAATTTTAATCTTAAACACTAGGATTTTTAAATTCGAGACATATTTATTACATTTTATTGCTTCCTATACTCTTTTATTACTTCTTATTTCCGTTTATGGACAATACTTAATCAAACGAAGCTGTCTTTCTCTCTTTCATTTTTCTTTACCTTAATTCATATTGTTTCAATTTTTATCGCGGTAAATAAGCAAATAACAAATAACAAATGTTTAACTGTGGGATAACGAAGTACCATTATGACTGAGAATAATGCACCGGACGTTTACACCTGCGCCTGGAAACGATACCTAACTCGCTTGCAATTACGCTTGTCTCCTGAGAAATTAAACGCAGCCGCAATAATCGGCCCGCAGAGACTTCGCGAACGATACACTTCTGCTGCTCGAAAACTATTTTCCCGACAGATCGACTGAGGGAGGGATTGTGCGTCGTTACGTTATTATTTGTAACGATCAGATACACGGTGGTGTGTTAAAATCGAGAAACTCCGATGTTCTGCGACGGTCAAACAATACGGAAAAGTTATGGCCGCGCGAAATTGGCACGCTACGCGGATCGCACACGCGAAAAATTGGAAAAGCGGCAAACGGTGAAAAGATAGAACCAGGGACGTCTCGCGAGCTCTCCGGTCCTATTAGATCTGAAAATACTGCGAACATGTGCTGAATAAGAAACACGAGCTCAGTCGGATTCTCTAGGGAAAATAAAGAAATTAAAGAAAAAAGATGAGACGCGAGAGATGGATGAAATGTAAATGTACTTTCCTCCTACAATCAAAGCAAATTGATGAGTTCATGAAAAAGTTGCATCGCATTGAATTCATGAAAACGTTCCAACTTTTATCTTCTTTTTTACCTTGTATAATTATTTTTGTAATTTGCGAATAGTCATATAAGGAAGTAATTTTTGCAATTATATTAAATTATATCTCAATCTCATCGCTGCTTTTAACTCTTTCTTAAAATAAGAAATTATAAATATTAAAAATATAACTCATTTCTTCTAATTATTTATTTTGTCATAATTTATTTTATAATAATTTATTTATTCTGCATGTATATATATATACAGCTATAATATTGAAAAGAAGCTTAAAATGCTATTGACACAAAATATTTTCGATTGAACGTGTAAAATACGAATCGCGAGTCATCAACAGGTTCTACAAGTCAGCCAAAAGTCATTGGCAGTACTCCAAAGTTGAGTTCACGAGAGACATCGACACAGATGCTCGGAACAAGCGTTTCAGAACAAGAAAAAAAAGAAAAGTTTTCTTACATATACACTTCTACATGAAAGAAATCGGAAAAGCAATCGAAAGAAATCCGTGCATTCGGCGCAGTTGCGTCCATTTATGATGGTTCAAGTTTTATCTGGATTCATGCGATTTCACTCTTCGACACTTTAACCCATCTTATCGCCATAATGAAAAAATAATGAAGAAAAAGAAGATGAAGAAGATGGAGAAGAAATAGAATGTATGAAGAAAAATGGGTTGATAATAAGTTTCTATCAATTAATAGATTTGCAATTTCTGATATTTTGTATAGAGATGAAATTCAGTTGACCGTAGGGTTTCATTCTATGGGTTAAACACATTACATGTTTAATTTTTTAAAATTATTTTTACTTTTACTCTCTATAATAATCATTTGAATTTATTTACGTTCTATCTTGAAAAATAAAATAGCAAAAACAATGTAAAATTAATATTTTATATTGTAATATTCGATACATCTTTAACCACACACAGCGAATTTTATATTCTATTACCAATATTTATAGATGCAGATCGATAAATACCATTCGCGCGCGAGAGCAAGCGAATCAAGGTATCTTGACATCTAATAAACCTGAAGTAAACAATTTGTAAGTATGAAGTTTTACGAGACACTTATGATAAAGACGAGATGCAAACGAGCGAATTATTGTTGCTCTCTGTACGAATATTATTTTTAACGTTTCATTAGTCGCGAAGCTAATGAAATTTTCGTAATATATATTCAGTGTGATTCTGTCAAAGAAGCGTTTGCAACTTTAGCGAGCGTTATGATCAATACTCGCAATCGGGCATGCATGCCACGATATATCGGCCAAGATGCCGCATCTTCAACAGGTTCCTATTTAAAAGTTATCGAAAACTCTCCATACAATATTCAAAGAGATTATACCAATAAAAGATATGATTTAATGGAAATAATTAGATGAAAAGAATATATACATATATATTTATATATGTACATTATGAATAATCTCTTGTCATAGTTGTTTAACACATACACATATTAAATAATTCTCTTATTAAAATATAATTTATTAAAAAGCTATACTAATTAATTTTTTCAATATTATTTTTTTCTTATTCACATTAATAGACTTTGAATTATTTGAAGTTTATATCTAAATTATTAGAAGTTTTGTAATAAACGTAATTATGAAAAATGTTGATATAAATGCCTCTCATTTGCAAATTATTTGATCAATTTAGAATTTTAAAAATTTTCAGTACTAAATATATATAAATTTTACATAAACTAAATCTCAAATTAATATTCTTTTGAAGTAATATTTATTTGAAATTAACCAAAGAGATAAATGACTTACTTGTATGTTGTGTTTATGTGTATGTGTATGTATGCGTTTTGTTTTGTAAACTCATTTCAATTTCCAATTAAAAAATATAATTATATTCCAAATGTTGCATTTCGAGATTGAAAAACGTAATATTTTTCATATCAATTTTTAATATATTTCTATAATTTTTAATATTTCTATATTTTCATATCATTCTTCAATATTTCTATAGATATTTGCAGAAAAACAAGATGCGTGATTTACATAACACCTTGAATACGACACTTGTAAGGAAAGGGTTAAGCGTGCGCGTAATTTCCAAGTGCATTTCTTGAAACGCAACGAGCCGGAGAAAGATCATCAACAGGTCGCCGTGCAAAAGCCAACGTTCCTCCCTTGACGATGTTCCTAACGATGTTTCAACGACTTGATGATGTTTCAATAAACGATCTTGAGAGATAATTCTTTAATCGGCTATTGCCGAAAAGAAGACCGTATTTCAATATAATGCTCAGCTTGGGAATAGCAAGCGTTATACAGTTCGTGATTCTAACCGGTTAAATGTTTGCGAAATTAATTTCCTTCCAAGCAAGACTGCGGAATCTATGCTGTAATTTTATCCGTAATCTCCTACGAAATTATTTTCTTTCTAAGGAATTTAATAAGATAGTGAGTTGTGTGATACTACATTCAATATCCTAGTTTTCTGATTGTGGCATTTAAAAAAACAACTAGTTAAAATCGATTTCTAATATTAACAAAGAAAATGTTAAAAATATGTGGTGTATATTATCTTTAAATTTTATTTCTCTCTGTAAATTCAGATAATTCTAATAAATTAAATTAAATTTTTTTTGTGAATCCAATATACGTATATATGAAATTGACAAAGAAAATTTAATTCTGTTGATTTAAATTTATCTTCAGTGTACATTTCTCTAGGGCGATTGATAATAATAATATTTAAAAACATTATTCATTTAATAGATATCCAAAATATTAGATATACATTAAATGCATTCATTTAAATCAAACAAATCACGAAACAAAGATAATAACTTTGAAAAATTAAATTTACTTGAATGACAAATGCATACAGTGTATTTACTAAAACAATTTTCATCTAACTAGATTTTTACAATTAGTTTTGTTACCGTTATAAAAAAATAACAGAGTCACCGTCATATTTTCAAACGTTATTTCAAAATATATGTATCAGCATCTGTATCGACATGTGAAACAAAGTAATCTGTTTTCAATATTATAAGCACAATATTTAATTACGTCCGGCTTAATATCCTGGCTATTAAACAAATTTATGTTAAAACATAATAATGAGCTACGGTAAAAAATTATACTCTTACATTTCTAAACCAAACCTTTTGAAAAATTTGTTTATCAGCCTTAATTCTAATATATCTTGTCGAAATCCGAGTCAGATTAAAAAGTAATTAAACTTGTACACTGCTTCTCGAGCACAAATTTAAGGAATGCGAAGCTTATTTTTTCCAAGCAAACGTTTAATCAAACAGCCTCTTACTTTTAAATTTCTAATTTTCGATACGTAATATCTTGGTAATCGCACATCCTAAAAGATTCACTTAAACAATTAAAAATTTAAACTTATAATTAAAGATTATAATTATTCTTTTCTAAAAAACGAATTTTTAGCCACTCATCGCTTCAAGATTAAAACATTCTCGACATTCTTGACACATGTTATGTCTTTCATATATTCTCGCTAAATATCTGTAGAGTTAAAAAAAAGAAAATATAAGAAAAATAATTATAAGGAAAAGAAATATATATTGGAAAAAAGTGTAATGTTTGCACGATTACTTATACAAAAAAAAAACTCACCCCATTAAAAGCGCTGCGCTACGATGTGCTGGACGGCTCTCGCGAACTGGTGCGCCCACTTGAAGGAAAAGAAGGAGGATAAGACCAACGACGACGAGGACGAAGGACACCTTACAGATCGCGGCCTCAAAAGCATAGCACTGTTCGCGGACTCGTTTTCGCGATATACACGTACACAGCTCTATACACGAGAGTGCGGGCTGCCGCGCGCGGTTTCGCTCGTGGGGGTGTCGCGGTGCGACTGTAGCACAATCGCTACCCTCTCACGCTCTCACGGTCTCCATCCCTCCGGACCGTCCTCTCCCTCACTCCCGCGACCCTCTTTATCTACCTGACCCCCCTCTCTCTATCTCTTTCTCTCTTCCTCTCAATCTCTCTCTTGCCTGCTTATCTCATGCCTCCCCGTTGCCTCTCTTCTATTCTCACCCTCTCGGTTTCTCTCTCGCTATAATATCCCCTCCACCGAGCCGTCCAGCCACTCCTGGAGCGGCAAAGTGCCTTTTCGAAACGCACCCCTCGCGGCGATACTTTCCCGCTAACGGAATCGACGCTTTCGGGTTCTGTGAGAGGGTCCGCAGGATCCTCGGCTGCATTGACTGCGCTGACTGCACTGACTGCACTGACTGCTCTCTCACACGGGCCGCCGATCTACCGGGTCGGTCGGAAGTTCGAAAAGCTCGCGCATGATCGGCCGATCGGCCCGCGCACCCCATTCTCGTCGAGAAATCGCGGCGCGTCGCGTCCCATCGCTCGTCCTTATGCATTGCACGCATGCGGGTTTTTGACGCGACGGGAGAGCTCCGGGATATCACGTGTTGCTGGCATGGGAAGTCGCCGAATGTCGAATACACGACGTCGAGGGGAGGAAGAGACGAGAGAGGGTCGTGACCGCGAGCATCTGTATCGTCTCAACTCGGTGGTTTTACCTCATTCTTATTAGTCTCTTACTTTCGACGCTGTATTTCGTACAACTTTATCTCTTGCAATTTTAAAACTTTAAATTTTTTATCACTAGCTTTTGCACTTTTTCTGGACACTTTGCAGAATTGATTAAATGCGATTCGAAATTTTCTTCATTTTTTCTGTTTTTCTAACTCGCAGACTTTTTTTTTCAAACATTCATAACACGGATTGTCAGCTATAACTGTAGATATTTCGAGTTCTCTCTGTCTCTTTCTCTCAAACGTTTTGCTCCAATGAATATATCGTAATTAATTTTATCAAGTATTCTGTCAAAAATATGTCTAGGAAGGTGGAATCCGTAACGTTTCTTCGCGAAAGACTCCATTTGTCATAGCCTTTATAGCTCGGTTTTATACAGGAACACGCGAGCTCGGTGCATTTAATAACATTATTCAGTCGCATGTTGTAGAAGAAAAGCGAAGTTTCGTGAAATTATTATTATTTCCAGAAGAATGCCACCACTAACAACTGTACATGCGCGCGCACGCACACGAAATATCTTATTACGGCAGGTGTTCGAGACCGTGTTCGTAACTTTCTCCTTCGAATTCCATTAACTTTACGCGAAAATTCCGGAAACGTTTCAGGAAAATTCTTCCAACGAAATAATTGCCGTTCTCGCGATATCGCGGGGAATCTCGGCCGCGTGCCGGAAGCATGCTTGGGGAGGAAAAAAGAAAAAGAGGAAGAACGTATATTATTTTTCGTTATACTCGCCATACTATAATGCGTGGTTACGTACTATACACGTTGCATGGGTCCCATATACGTCGCAATAAATATGAAAGTGCTTTCTAGACTATGCTATACTCACCGACATGAAATGGAAAGATTTATAGCATGATTGTAATTTGAATAAAAATATTGTAAATGATCGTAGATGAATAATATAATAATTGATGTAGGACAAAATCTTAGCTCTAATATAATATTATTGGGGGGAGGGGAGAGAAATTCATTATTTTACATATTAAAATTATTCACATATTAAAAGAGAGACACGTAATAGATATTTAAAAAATAGTACTTTAATATATTGTAAATATTACATTATTATTATTATTTAAAACGCGCAAAAGTGTCACCGCGATAAATAAATTTTTTTTAAACTAACGTGATGTCACATTAATAATGCTGAAAATAAAAGAGAAAAGTGCCGTAAAAACCGCGCTTAATTCTGAACAAAGAAACGAAACGCAAACGTCCGCCGTCGGCTTTTCTCATTCGAGCGATTTTAACCGGCATATTCATCGAGCAGATAAATCACGCACCTCTTCAGGCCGAGAATCCCACGCGGTATGATGGATGGATGCTCGTGGATAAATGTAGACTTGTGTCATCGCAGGACGATAGGAGAAAGTTCGGCATTCGTCGACGGGAAACACGATGAAACAGAAACGCAGGGATTGCGCCCGTTCATGAGAAACTTTAAGAAGACCGAGAGAGGGAAGGAAGAAAGCTCGTTAAAAGTTTAACTCAACTTGTCTCCCGTGCGCTTTTCCTGAGTCCACGTCGAATATCGCTGTGACAAGGTATCACGTTACAGGATAAACAAATGTTCTTAAATTTAAAAATTTCCGTTATATTTACTCCTCGTTAGATCCATCGGGATCTCGTATATAAGATATATCGCAGGTTGTAGTAAAAATGACATACAGCTAATTTTTTATCTTAAAATTTGTGTTTAATTTATAATCATGCTTTTTTGCATAAATATGAAAAAAAATTAAGAAAGCAAAGAATATTTTTTTAAAGAATGAAAATAATTCCTGATAAAATAAAAATTCTCTTCTCTTAGCAAAGATAACAATAACTATAATATTTTATATTCTTTTTTTAGAGACATAATTTTCAATTATTATTTTTATTCTTATAAAAATTTTATCTCTACTGGTTGCCATTATTGATCAAGCTTTAGTGCGAACAGTTTGCGTGTCACGGGACAAACAAATATTTGTCTTAAATTCTCCGTTACATTTATATCCCATGCATTATCGGAGGCGCGTGCACGGGGTGTGCCTAATGCACCGCGTCTATCGCGGATAGAGCAGTTGGTTGCGCAGAATTATATTTGCGCCATAACGCGTGTGCGTTTAAAGTTTCGCAGGTAAACGGGATCGATCGGCGAACTTCCGACGATAACTACTGTAGACCGAGAATTTAATTAAATCGATTATTGCGAGAACGCCGCGCAATAAGAGAACGCAGAGCGGAACGTATTTCAAAGCGATATTTAATTTGTACCCGATAAATGTATACTCGCGTTCGCGTTCGATGTTTATTTAAACAAGAGCAAAATTTAGAATTAATATTACAAATTCTCTTTCTCTAGATATTTAATAAAATCACTTTTTTTGTGTATATATATATATATATATATATATATATATATAGCTTTGCGAAATAATTATTTCACTTTATATACTTATTGTCCTTGGGACAGAGGCAACTTTTATATATCCACTTAAATGGCATCCACGTGTATGCCTGTCATGTGCCATATTTACGCAATCTATTTCAAGGTTTATCAAATAGTCAGCAGGTACACATTCGAAAAGAAACCTGTTCTTGTGTTTCACGTCTCATATTATTTCTTCTTTTTAATCTCGTTTGAGATGTTCGCTTCTTCCAGCGAACATTCTTTTATATTAATATTTTACTATAATATGTATCATATCGTACTGTGTCAATGGATAGTGCAGTTGTTGTATACTATTTTATCAGTAGAAAAGAACGATGACAGGCAAACTATATTCTCCCAAGAGGAATGTATATATAAATGTACATATGTGAAATATTTATCACCAAGCAAGCAAACATTTTGCGATAGTTTAACAAACATTGTAGGATATATACAACTATGTTATTGAGTATCTAAGCTAATATCCCCCATTTCTTAACAGAGAATTGTTACTTTCTTGCTACTTATCGGGAAAATTATTTCTAAAGATAAATCTTAATCTCTGTATTTAGATTTTACTGATTGTGAGTAACAAATTCTCTCTCTCTCTCTCTCTCTCTCTCTCTCTCTCTCTCTCTCTCTCTCTCTCTTATATTATTTTAAATATCATATAATTTTGGATGTTATAATTTTAACATATTTATATACATTTAGTTAAGAATATTAAAATAAAATAAATCAAGACAATTTTAGTCAAGCTTATAAAAGTTTTGTCAATTTATTTTTTAAATATAACGAGTAACAGTATTTTTGCATTCATTCATTTTACATTAAATATTATTTTAACTTAGCAAAATAATTTTTATTTATTTTGCTAAGTTAAAATAATATTTAATGTTAAGAGCCTTCAGGTATTTTTTATTTCGAAAATAACAGAACGGAACAAAATATTAGTCATGTATCATTCATTCATAATGTAGTTACTCGTTACTTTTCGATTCATTTCATTTTCATACAATTGGTTTTACCTCATCGTACAAATAGAAAAACGAGTCGAGTCACGGCACGATCGGAGTCTCATAAAAAATGCGCACTTCATAAACGCTGATACGACTTTCGTAATCGAAAAAGTGCGGAGAGGAAATCAAGGACCTCTCTTCCATCCTATGGTCCTTTGTTTCGACAAGATTTTCGGGAGTAAAAGCATCCCCGTTCTTTCTTCTTCCCTCTTTTTTTACTTTCCCCCTTTTTCTTTTACCCTCTCTTTCTTTCTCTGTGATGTCACACCGACATTCTTTTCCAGGGAGGACGCGCGTTCGATATTAGGAAATACCTCCTGCCAATTTCCCATGTTATATAAGGTAAGCGTGTTCCCCTACGAAGACCGAAGGCCTTCCTGACATACTCTCTTTACGCGCACAAATCGATTTTACTTCGAGAATTCTTATATATTCAAGCAAGAGAGGTGTGAAAAAAATTTTCCGTTAAAAGTGTTACCTTTTACGCTCTGACTTTTTCCTCATTCCAGCTGAGTAGGATCCCGTAATAAAGTGATAGATCAGGGAATACAATAAAAATGGAGATTTTTTCTTTAACTTGCCGTATGAGAACGTAATCTCCATAGACGCAAAAAAATTCAAATGGAATTAAATTATTGGATATCGATTCTTGTTTCGACATGCTCGCGATGCGACTCGCTTCGTAACGTATCTGGCCTATGCAAATGCTGGAAATAGTATCGGCCGAATTATGCGAGTTACTGGGAACGCGGGCGTTAGATTGCAGAAATAGTTCGCAAATTCGGATTCGGTTGTGAACAGTCGTGCAGAATAATATATTGCAAACGCGCGGCAATAGAACAGTAACGGAGATTATTATAGTCATCTTCATATACGTGTATGTACATGTACAAGTCACTACTAACTACTTGGGGGAAGCATTTCTCATAAATGTATCTACCAATTATGTCCAACAGTTACTATTGCTAATTGATAAATTAAAGATAAATAATCTTAGGCATTCTTATCTTTTATAGCATCTTTCATCAATCGAAAATCCCCCCATAAAATTTAATTGGGATATGATATATTTTCAGTTTATAAAGTTGTGACAATTTCAATATTTTTTTCACAAGTCAAAACTCTCTATTAAGTTTTAAAATATTTAATCAAACAACCTGCGTATATTAATTTG